GCGGCTTCGTCCGCGCAGCGGCCCCGCAGCCTCCGGGCGTACCCCTCGCGGGTTTTCCCCGAGTGAGCGGCCGCGGAAACTTTGCAGGCCCGCGGCACCGGAGCGCGGCGGGCCGCGGGCGGGTGTGTGCGTGTGGGTCGCGGGGTGACGGCGGCCGGCCCTCGTCCGCAGCGGCGCGGCCCGGAAGCCCGGGGTTCCAGGCGCTGCCGGAATGCAGCCCGAAGCCAAGTTGTGCACGCGTTTGTCCTGCAAGAGCGGTGGGAGTGGATTCCCGTTTTGGGATCCCGGTGTCTCCAACCCGGAGTTGGAGAACCGTGTTGACTTAAGTCAGTTTTCCGGAACCTTACAAATGGACTCCACTTGACTGACCTCCGTTCCCATTCTCCTTAAAAAGTTTTTTTTAAAAAGGGTTTTTTTTTTTGGGGGGGGGATGGGGATGGTGTCGGTTCCAGGGTTAGAGGCAAATCGCGTCTCCCGAGAATGCTCTTTAAAAGATTGTCAGACGCCATTGGGTTAAGTCACACAGTTTTTGCTTGGACTCGAATTGCAGTCCTGTGAATTTCTGATTTATTCGGGAATTCATAACCGGGGCTTCGTCCACACTTTTGGTTGGACTGGAGTTTGCAAAAAGAAAAGCCAAGACTAATGACTGCACCCAGTAATGTTTTATTTTATTGGTTTGGCAATGTATTTATTAGCACTGTGGCCCAGTGATATCGACAGAGGGATGTCATCATTAAGCATCAAGCTTAAATATCGTTGATAGAATTTTCAACTTAAAAGGTTTGAGATTGGAAATATCTTCTTATGACAACATGATTTTTTTTTTTAACTGAAACGTCTTCTCATAATCTAGTTGAACTAATACGGAAAAATTTTTGTGTCAATGAATGGACACAACTTCGTAATTCTTTTCTGTCGTCTTTAGGATGGAATGTTCTCTCTACTGTGGAAAGGCCACATTTAAACTCTGCTAAAGGAAGTATTTATCTCGTTTGTCTTTGTGTGATTTCTTCCAAATGGTAATTTCATCTTTTTAGGAGAGCATCTTTATTAAATAAGTGTCATGTAGAAAGGGACTAACAGTCTGGTTTCTAGTACGCGCTTAGTAAATTATGGTTCCATATGACATTTCTAGTGTTGTTATTTTAGATTTCCATTATTTTTAACATACTCTTTAGATGGCTTTGAACTACAGCCATGCTTTCTTCTTAAATTTATGCATTTAAAGGTATTTAGAAGGATGAAGGCCCCATCTATCTCAATCACTTTCACAGCCTCTAGCACCTGAAGGAAAAGTCTGGCGTATAATAAACATTCAGTAAATATTGCACTTGAAAGGGAGGAGTAAATGAGTGAGTTGATTACAGAAGGCCATTACTCAGTCCCATACAATGTTGACAGGTAAAAACACTTGTAAATAATTTCTTCTTTATGTTGTGCAGTACATTTCTTTTTTATGTTGTGCATAAAAATAATTCAAAAATTATTTTGAATGATGGATCAGAAAAAAAAAGGAGGGAAAAAAAAAACAACAGAAGATGATTCATATTTCTTAGAGCCAGGCTGCATGCAGTTATTTTAACTATTATAAGGACACAAGGTGGAAAAAATAACTGTATCCAGGTATTTGGCACTAAGGCTTAGTATGATTTTGCCAGAGTACAGTGAAATAATATTGTGTGTTCTTTCATTTCAAATAAAACTTAAGTTTCAGTCAGCAGGTATTTTCGAGAGAACCTTTGGAAGACTGTTTTGGAGATTCAGGACAGTTTGAGAGACTATAGGGCAGGTTTCCAATCTAGGCCGTGGAGTGCCCTCTCATCTCAGATCCCAGTTCATATGATAATGCTAGTTTAAACCCCGAAATACTGATTAACCGTCTGCCTCTCAGATTCAATAAATAATACTTCTAGCATTGACCCAGCTGGCAGTTCTCGACATTGGCTTCAGTTAAACCAGAAATCTAGTGTTGGACATTGCCGTTAATATGTTTAATTAAATCTCTCCAAGGTGATTCTGAGATGCAGGTAGGGCTGAGAATTGCTGACTGGGCAAATCTTGGAAGTGTTACCTGCTGTTCAGGGACATTTTTGCTAGAAATTCATTATTAGAGATTAAGAGAAGAGAACAGATTTTAGCTAAATTGTGTGTGTGTGTGTGTGTGTGTGTGTGTGTGTGCGCGCGTACATACAAATAGGCAAATATAGACATATAAATATGTATATATTCACATACAGATAAGCAAATACAGACATATAGACATATATATGTGACATATACACACATCTGTATGTCTGTATTTGCCTATCTGTATCTGTATGTATTTGAACTGAGTTGTATTGATTGTTAGGTTATTAGTAAACATTTTAAAACTATAAGAATTACTGATTCTAGTATATATCAAAAGCTGAAGTACACAAGTACCATCTTCTGTATGTCCTGAAATACATACCACCCAGCTGATGTAGAAAGGTTTGGAGAAGTTCATGGGTCTTCTATACTAGGTTACTGTCTTTAAATCACGGAGATACAACATATGTATCCATGTTTTCTCCCCCTGCCACCAGACATGTGAAGGGGTAATATTTGTCCTATAGAATTTCAGTGGCAATTTTAGTGTCTGGGTGCTTAGGTGTCTATGGTGCTTACTGGCAAGTTAACGTGCCTTTGTACTCAATGTATCGTAGTGTTAGGTTATTCATGTTTTTGAAATTGATATTAGACTCATGCTTCCCAGGTATTATTTTTTATAAAATCATTCGGAGATTGAGAAGAAAAAACAATACATAACAATAATGATAGTAATTTTCAGAACAATTCTTTAGGAAAAAAAATGATAGTAATAATTGCAACCTATGTATTACTTATTCTGTACCAGATGCCACCAGCTGTCGCTCTAAGTACTTGGGTTCTGTTCATTTACTTAGAACTCACAGTAACCCTATGGGTAATATTATCCTTACTTTAAGACAAAGAAATGAGGCATTGAGAGGAGAAATGACCTGTCCAGAGTCACACAGCCAATATGTGGCAAATGGGAACTTCCCATTGTTGCTTGACTTAGCCATCAAACATTAGCTAGTCTGGGGTTGCCTTCTGGGATAGGGTGTCTGTTGTCATTTCGTGTCCATACTTTCTCAAAGAGAAACTCTTCTGTCTGCAACAGTTATTCAGTCCAGACTTCCATGATTAGGTTTTTTCTGTGGGAGGAAAAAGGGAGGGAGGGTCTAAAGAGAATTTAAAATGTGAGACCAGATAAATCAGGACACTTGTAACAGCTGTGCCACAGTGTCCTGGTAGGGTTTTACTTCAAAATGGTTGATGGCAACTTCATTCTTTTCATTCTTATGGCTTACCTGTCATCCTTGACAACTCAGTTTCTCCCTTGTCCTGTATCCTATCTGCTAGAAAGGTGTGGCTCTGGATCCTCGGAATATATCCAGTCGCTGACCGCTCTCAACACCTCTGCTGCTGCTCTTCTGAAGATCTAAGCAGCTGCTGTCTCTCCCAGCCCACCTGGTCTCCCTACTTCTACCCTAGCCTGCTCCAGTCTGTTCTCAACACAACAGCCATGGCTGAGATCCTTTAAAAGCTTTAGCGTCTTATTCTTTCACTCAGAAATGGCAGCGACTTTTCATTGCACAAGTAAAAGCCTTATGGTGGTTTCCAGGACCCCTTGTGATCTGCCTGCCATCAGCTCACTCTGTCGCTTGCTCATTCCAGCCACATTGGCCTCCCTCCCTGCTTCCTGGAATGTACCAGATACCAACTTCCACCCCTGTTCTCTTCCTCTGTTCTCCATGTGCCCGCTTGGCTGAGTCCCTTTATTACCTGCAGCCTTGATTCAAGCCTCACCTTTTCAGGGAGGTGTTCCCAGTCACCCCCTTTAAACATCCTTCCTGCTGCCCACTGGCAATCCCAGTGCACATTCCCTGACTCCCGTTTCTTTATTCCCTGTCACCTCATGATATACTATATAAGTATAAACATATCTAATAGCTACCTTCACCTGCTGTGTAAGTTCCAATAGAACATTTATTGTTATCCAATATAACACCGATATAACCCAAGTTCCTTGAGTAGCACCTGATTCCTTGAAAATACTGTAAGTTGCTGGGCGCGGTGGCTCACGCCTGTAATCCCAGCACTTTGGGAGGCCAAGGCGGGTGGATCACGAAGTCAAGAGATCGAGACCATCCTGGTCAACATGGTGAAACCCCGTCTCTATTAAAAATACAAAAATTCAGCTGGGCATGGTGGCGCATGCCTGTAATCCCAGCTACTCGGGAGGCTGAGGC